ATTGGTTTTTGCCCGATATATCCATACCCCATACGATATTTTATAGTGCGTTACGTGTGTTAAATAATATTTTTACTACTTGACAATATATCGTGGGCTGTAGCTCGACTTACGAACTCAAATTTATATATTTTTATACTGTACTTTATATTACATACTAATCCATATTTTTGTACGATTTGTACGATTTCTCACTTAATTTGACGCGAGCTGTAAGAAAAACTTTGGGACAATCTTTGTTCTTCTCGACAAAATATCAGATAGGCGGATATGCTTAACTTTACTTCCCTAACCTTGTTAATCAATTATTTTCATGCATTATAGGATCTCGATATACGAATACAGGATAGTGGTAAGTATGGAGACCAAAGATTGTACTGCCTCCAAGTTTATTTAAAGTAATTAGAACCGAACTTAAATAAATACATTATGTTGAAGGAAAGGTCAGTATTTACGGGCAATTATTTTCTTTATTACGGGAAGACGAAGGTCCAAACGTAGATGCTCTACGTTGAAATGGTTTAGCCGTTGTGTTAGATTTAGTTTTATTATTTGAGCTGTTTGCTGTGCTATTTGGGGCACCCGTAGACAAACGTGATATTAACTTCGATGGCTCGGGAGAAATAACTGCAGCAGCGTTAAAATCTTTGCCATTTATTTTGGGTTTAAGAGAAGATTTTGTGTTAAATTCAGACGTGGACCTGATTGCAGATTTTCTAGGCCTTATATGACCACTCGTTTTGGGAGTCACATTTTTCGATGCAAGTGCGTCATTCGACTTTCTTGAAATCTTACTTACAATACTGGCGGCCAAACGTGAAACTCCCATCGAAGCCTGGGCAGAAGTAACAGGAATAGTGTTTGAATCTTTATAATTTATTTCAGGCTTAAAGAATTATTTTACCTTAATTTCGTGTACTGCTTCAAACGTCGAAGTTCTCGATCTAATACGGTTAATCGGTTTTGAAACTATTTTGTCATTGATTTTGGCACTACCGAGGGAGGGAAGCGAGGTATCCGTCGATGGTCGAACAGAACCAGTACTAGTAGGCTTCGTCCATTCATCCATTCTTTCACCCATTGCAAGTTTAGAAGAGTAAAGCTTGGAATTAGAATTTGGCCCCCTTACGCTAGAATGTTTTGATAATGTTGAATCGCCTTCTAAACTACGTGCAAGTAAAGAACTAGAATTGTTAAGTGACTCATATTTTCCTGGTGACGTTGTTAACTTGAAACAAACTTTCCTCTTAATGGAAATCCTGTTAAGCATTGGTTTGTCTATTGAGTTCGAAGACTTCTTAGCTTTTACTTCCAAGGAAGATTGAGCAATATCTGGTCTGAAGGATTGATGAGATGTTTTCGCGATTGTTTTTATCGGTGAAGTGCATTTAAGAGAAGTCGTAGATTTTTCATTTAATATAGACGTTTGCCTCAAATATGGTTTAGAGTTGTGGATCACATTTTTCGATACGTATGCTGGCTTGATCGCGGCTCGCTCAGGTAGAGGCTTTTCAATTTTTCGTGTACGGCCATTGGTTGCCACTTTAGACCTATTTGTTGGCTTTAGGAAGAGTACGTCAGGTGACTTCTTGTTATTAGTCGCGTAGGGAATAAGGCCGCTCACCTGAGTAGATGTTCCAAAATCCGAGCGCCTTTTATTCCATACATGGGATGATCGGTCCACTGATGTATTTTTTGGCCGTTTGGGATCTTCCGAATCAAGATTAGCCTTAAGCGCTGTTATGAAGTCGAACTCCCTACCTTTTGGCGTTTGATGTGAATCAGCAATGCTAGATGCATTCGTACTTAGTAAAAAAAATGGATTGTAGCCGTTTCGAAAATTGGCAATATTGTTAGTTTGTTCAAAATCTTTACTAAAATTTTTTACTGTAGGTGGTTCTAGTATAAATGTTGCTTGCCTTTCAACAGCTTCAGCGAATCTCTTCCCTTTTTCATGTTTGTAAGGATGTCTTAGTTCTACGTGCAAGGCATCAGATGATTTTCGGGTTTTAATGGCAAGACTTTCACGTTTGCCATCGGTTTCCTTATTTTTAATCTTTAGCTTTGCTTTAAGAGTATTTAAACTGCCTAAGCCTTTATATATTGTGTTTGCACAGTCTCGTATAGTGTTGTGCTCTTTTTCGATAAATTTTGGTTTCTCTACAACGTCCAATTCGCCCAGTATGGGGATTTTAAGCGCTTCAAGATCAGCTTCAAAAAGCTTTTCCGCATTTTTCGACTTGGCCTGCTCTTCAGACATAATGTCATCATCGACGAATTTTAAAGGCGACTCATCAGACAGAGATGATTCATTGAATTGCAGAGAACTGAATAATTTTATGGTGCTTTCTATTTTTAAATCATTATTCACGCAGGGCGGACTGCTTGAGCTCATAGTATCGAACGAAAGTTTGCTAACTATATCCGTAGAAAAATTTTCTTTCGGTAAACGAAAAGGAAGATGGAGCTTTGGCACAATAAATTCGGATAACAACAAATTACCTTCAAATGAATTTTTACCTAACTGCCTAGCCATCAGTTGAGCTTCTTTTGCCATCATTTCAAATGGATCATCTTCTACTTCAGCTTGCTGTTGCTCCCCACAATCAAAGGAATTTTCTTCAAATCTATTGCCTTTGTTTCCTCGTCGTAATGGTGAGAAAAATTGTTTGCCGCCGGGGATACAATCATTGTCCAATTTCAACATGTTTTTTGTTTTTTTGTTCTCGTCTAAGCTGAGATTTATTAAATTTTCACATTCCGTATCGGACATTTCTTTGTAAGAGTCCTTTAAGCAATGAGTTGAATTAGGGGTCTCTTAAATTATATATAAATTTTTTTGTTCTTAAATTTTCTTCGTTGAAGCGATATATTTAAATCGAATTCCTTTACTTTTTTTCAGATATTTTTTGTTATTTTAATTTTTTTTCAGATTGTCAATAATTTCTTGTCGTAAGTAATGAGAGGAAATTCATAACACAATAATTATTGAATTTTATTTTAGAAGCGCTCCCTACGAGTAGTTAATGCCATAAAATTAATAATGATTTGATTGTTTTTTTCTTTGTTCTAGAAAGTAAAAATTCATCTTTGAGTGATATTTCTTTTTATAACTTATTGAGACCAAGGAAGTAAATTCTAGGATTAAGCAACGAAAGATATTACAGGCGGACAAGGCTGACCATTACATTCCTTACACCACTTCACCTAGTAAAGTTATTCGCTAATTGGGTAATAATACACTAAAAATTGCACATTATTTTGTTGCCAAGACACTCTTTTTATGAAACCCCGTATTTGGAGGATGACCGAACCGCCACATGACATGATCTAAGTTTTGCAAACTTAATGTACTTCATAAAAATTTTATTATATTTCAGTTTCTGTCACAAAGAAAATAACTAGAAATTAGACCTTCTCTCCATATAAGGGCTTGCTTTTCATGATAACCCCCGATACATGTTCGGATCTAAAAAATAGAACTATCTGCTTCTCTACCGTCAAATTTTCTGCAAATTGCTGCTATGGATAAATTGTCATCATAAAATATTAAGAATTGATTCTTTTTCTGAAGAGATTACTATTCATAAGAAATCTTATATGGTGTGGAGCTCAGGAAAATGACCCATTAGGTTCAAATTACGCCCTTAATTTTTGTGGCATTTACTATTATGAATCAATTTTCACCACGAAAGATTGGAAATTTCCATAGGAACAGTTATGTGAGAGAGAGTTGAAAACATTGCCTCACTCGAACTAAAATTTTCATATCAGTTTGGAATGTCCAAATATTACCACAGGACGATTTTGTTGAAAAATTGGCATAATTGCAATTTTTTTTTAAACTAGGGCGTCATATCGGAAGTTGTGGAAAAAGTGAACAGATCGATCCAATTTTCAGTAGCGTTCGTCCTTGGGTCAAAGCATGTAATCTTATCAAATTTCATCAAAATATCTCAAAAATTGCGACCTGCAGCTTAATTACATTGACAGACATCAGACGAACAGACGAACAGACAGGTTTTAATCGATTCACAAAATGATTTAGAAAATGATTCTGAATCGATTAGTATAATAAAAAGTGGATCTACCTTATGCTTTTCTAGTTTTTACATACGTCCGCACAAACTTAATATGTTGTATACCACAGGTGGTGTAGAGTATTAAAAAAACAAGAAATCTAAGACCGCAGCTTGTTGTAATTTAAGCCCTTTAGAGGTATTGGTCCTGACAACAATATGTTTTACGTTTAGTCTTGTCTAACGGTTTCCCCGATTGGTATCCGTCCACATATACCGGAACATGTTGCACTACCAAAGTGTTGGATGCCAAAGTTTCACTACAAGATTAACTTTGTTATTTGATGGCTATATGCCGTTTTTCATCAAAGGGGAACACAAGTTCTAGTACCTATGTTTAGTTTTTGCTTTCCCATTTTGCAAATTGTAAAAGTTCAACGTCCTCTGAGAGTAGGAATAAATACATAAAGCACTAACTGCTAGACATTGTTAAGTCAACTTAGAAGTTGCAGTGTGAAGTCTTCTGCATTTTTAAGCGATAGATATAAGAATTGCTTGTTAAGATCATTGAAAAGCTTCGTCCGCGCTTTATTAGATATTATTATGTAAACTTTGATATTAAAGGATAAAATAAATTCGTTTTCAACATGCTTGTTAATACTCTAGTATAATATACATAAATACATGTATGTATATGTATATATGTATACATAGCTACCACCACAACTCTGGTATGTATCAACTTAAATCTATTGTTAAGTGATAAATATATTTTGCAATTTATCATGATTTTGCGATTTAAACATTGATTTGAATAACAATCAATAAGTCTTTGTACGGGCGCAGAATGTTATTCTAAACCGACGTTACAATTTCAATGAATCAATGCCTTTAAAACAAATCATTTGCAGCAACTGAAGTGAGATGTTGTTTTTAAAATTTCAACATTTCAACAAACGGCAAATATGTGCATTGCTCTTGATGTTGATAGTATTCAATCAGTATAGTGCAAGCGTTAGCATAACAGAGAAAACCATTACAAAAACATATTTGATTGATAAAGTATTGAAATTGTTAACAAAATGGGATCATAGCACAAATTTAAATATAAACATTAAATTTTCTGCTTTGCTAAGTGAATTCCTCATCAAACGTTTGTATTACGCTATCGAGGAGATAAAAAAAAACTCTTTTTTAAAAATCTTTTTTCTTTATTGTTTGCCTTTTTTAAAATATTTTTTATCTTTTAGAAAATGAACGGTATTTTGAATCAACTCGATATGAACAACAAGTATTTTATCAAATTTTGCAAAAGTTAAATCATATCATACAGCGTAAAGGAAATGAACCAGACTTCACTGAAACGCATAAGAAGAGTAAGTAGTAAAAAAAAAAAAAAAAAAAAACGAAAAACTGATCTCTACTCGCACCCGAATTTCCCATCTCTCTTGTAGTTTTAGAGAATATTTTCCAAAAGAATGTATTACTTACGCCACCTCAGTTAAAAGAGCATTACATCATTACCGATTTAGAGTATAGGTCCTTAATAAAACATTATGACAAATTAATAACAGTCGGTTATCCCAATGACACGATGTCAGGTGAGCTCGAGTTACACAAAAATAACCAAAAAAAAAAAATTCCAAAAATTTATTAAAAATTCATTTACAGATCAATGCTTGGCTCATATAGTTACACTAAATGACGATTGCAAATTATCAGACGAATGCTTGAGTATAATTACGAGTGACTTACCTACATATGGCTATCGGAGAGTACATCAGTAATGAACATAACTACTCTGTTAAACATTTATGTACAATTTTATTTCCTCTCGTTATGCGTGCGTGTGTCGTACATTTTGCAGAATATTAATACTTTACGTGTTTTTGCATCATATGTGTTCAAATATAAGTGCCGCACCGTTAGCTTATGAAATCTTGGCCAGTCAACAATGCACACAAGTCCAGAGAGAACAAAACGTTTTACATCATCTCGGCTTACCCGACACTTATCGAGATTTATATTTAGAGCAACGTAAGCAAAAAATTTTCATAAACATATATATGAATATGACCTTCTTTGTTGTTATTGCCTATATACCCATTACCGAAGCAATGCTTTTAAAATAATATTACAGTTTTATTACATCCACTGCTACCGAAGGATGGTAGGGTGCATTCTTTTTATCAAAACGCTTGCAACACCCAGGAGGAAGCCTCACACCATTCCGAAAACCAACTAATGTATCTCCACACTAGATTTGCAATCGACTTAAGCATGTCCGTGTGAAGAAACAATGGTTTTTTTGCCAGTCACTCAAAAGCTACAACAAATGAAGCTATAACAATTTTCGGCCACATTCTGTGGGCAATTCTACAGTACTTGAAAAAAATGAAAAAAAATTGGCTAAGCCCACCAAATATTTTAGTTCAATTTTGTTCTTGTGTTTCTTTTTTTCAATCTTTGATAGGGATAAAAGATTCAACAAAGTTGAATATAATTATTTTAGATGTTCCATATGTTGGTTATGTTAAGATAGAATTCAAACGTTTTTACATAAATTCGGTATCTCTTAAGGCACGCTTATAACGTATGTGGGTTCTGTGAGACCTTATTTCTATAGATAGAGGCCGGCCTCCCCGTTTCTTTCGAAACTTTCACGAATGCAAAATTTATACAAAAGTTTGTTGCCTCAATCATAGATTTGGAGAGCCCACACATACGTCTGCAGGACAATCCCTCAAAAAACGGGAAATGTCCAAAAGCAAACATTTCACAGTTTATATAAATATTTGCGAAAGTTTTAACGCAAGAATGTCTCCGAACGACCTCCACGATTGAATGAAACGCTTCCAAATATTTGTTATGATAATTATTTGTGGGTTTTTCTAAGACACGGATTCGCTCTGTGTTGTTAAACGGGTTGTTAAACTTCGCTTACTCCTTAGGATATCGTATCGTCTTTAAGTTTTACATAACAGCGTGTTAGTGAACTATACACTACGTTGATTTTAAGAGCTTCGAATAAGTTCTGTGTCAACAATACACCATTCACAGGAAGCATTAGTGCTCCTGTTCAATTTGAAGGGTAGTGAAGAATGTGAAGAATGAATGCACAGCGATAGCCAAAAAGTAACCAACGTTGATGCACACTGTGTGAGCTATTAACATCCCCAACAACGGTAAATGCCTATTGTGTATTCATTTAAGTCAGCTGGTTCACACGAAAACATCACTAGAGCAGATTACTAACATCATCGATTACGAAAAGCTGAGCTGAAAAACGGGTATAATATGAGAAAGTCTTTTCACAGCATGATGATGTTTAAGTGCCATCATGATGTTTCGTCTGACATATTCCCTCTTTCTGATTAACGCTGGTTGGTTGGTAGCAGTCCGAACACAGCTTCCATTCCATCCACAGCACTCAAACAAGGGATCCTTTTACTTAAAGATGTGAGAAGTGTAGGCTAGCGATGGACGGTACTTTGAACAAAGTAATTTTACTGTTCTCTCGAAGAAAGAGCTTCTTAGGAATTATTTCTTTGGTTAATACACTTCCTACTTAGGTTATGTTGCGGCATTCGCTATCCATCAATGAAGACTAGAAATGCAGTTTTGCATGGTTTAGAAGAAGTATAGCAGATTCTATGGGGAATATGTATTATCGATCAGCTTAAAATTGTAAACCGGTTTATTTAAGACCGCGCATTCATCGTTTTGTTCGGCGTAGTTATATCGGTTCATTCGTCCGTCTCTCATGGCTGCAAAAATTGAAAGTAATAAAGAACAGACATCTGATACATATACCGTTAGTTAAAATCCACAAAGCAATACGAAAAACAGTACAATTAGTTTCCAGCTTATTTAATTCGAAAGTGTTAAGTTGTAGAAGATTCAAAATTTGCAAGTGTTATATAGCAGGTCATTGGAAAGTCCAAAGCAAACAAACGCTTTCGGTCGTCTTACTAATGGCTTACGATGATGGGTATCCAAGTTTCGCCTTATAACGAGTATAATTTTCTTACTTGCTTCCTCTTGCTAAAGTAATCATTTCATTATATTAGATGTATGTATTATTGATTTTGTTGTTTGTCTCTTTCTTCATTTCAAATTTTTCATTTAAACTGTTCAACTGCTAACTGAAAGTTGTTGTTTGCGGCCTATTCGGTTATGTGGAATTCATTAATTGGCACAACGTTGTAAGTGTTTCAAATTGGCCGCAAGAGGATGAATGCCTATGCCTGTTTGTCGATGGTGAACGTCTGATTGACTGCAATTGCAATAATCATATAAATAGTTTATTATTGGTTTATTATATTAATGCAGTATTAATGTTGAATTAACATCATTGTAGCAGTGTGAACAGAGATATGTACAGATATCGTTAAAAATTGATTGCAATTATATCGATATAACTTTCAATATATTCTCAATTGATTTAAGCAAAAAAAAAAAAATTATTACTATTTGAACATTTTATTACAAGTTATGAATATTCATTTATCTATTGTCTATCTCACTCATACGTTATTAATATTACAATATTGTCAAAATTTAATAGAGTTCAGTGCATTGAAGATAAAATAAATACGAGTATATTAAGAAGTGCGAAAAGCTTCCTACAGTAACAGTTTAAAGAGCAGAAAATGCTTACAATACTAACTTGTGAGGAACCAAAGTCGTTCCTCGTTTTGGCCTCACAGGTTCTTCGGCTCTAGTGGTGGAGGGGGATGTGTGTCGGGTGTTAGAGTAAGTGAGGATAAGAACATTTAATATTTGAGTAAGTTTGGATAATTCGAGGTTAAGCTAGGATGCTAAGTGAGAAAATAGAGAAGTCTAGGGGAGTGGAGGTAAAACACTGGTCGGAGTCGGTGCTAGAATATTTTTTTATTTGAAGTAGAAAGGAAAACCCTGATCTCAGTTTTTTTTACTAATCAAGTGCAACAAAAATTTAAAGTGAAAGTCGAAGAATTGTAAAAGCGATTGACTTGAAAAAAAAGAAAATGGACTGATTCAAAAAAAATCACAACATTAGAAATTTCTTGTGAAAGGTAACCTGGAGCCGCTGAGCTACCCCAGGAACAGGTTAACGGACAAATTTTAGCCCTCACAAACTGTACATGTTCGCATTAAGAACGTGCAGGAAAGAAGATCGAATTTCTTCTTCTTTACATTCATTTCATTTAATTTAGTCCGCTCGTGTAATCCGGCGAGACTTTCAAAAAGAAGAGTGGGAAGAGAGGTGGTCGCCGCAGCCTGGTGGGTTTGTGCCCGTCAGATAAGTGTTAGGTCTTGACAGACTGAGCGCTCACTATAGTTACGACTAAGAAAACTTGAGATTCGAACCCGCGAGCACGGATATCCAGCAACAACAGCTTGCTTATTTGGTTTCGTGTTCACTGCTTTTTTATGCGGTTCTTAAATTCTTTTTTCTTCTGCAAGAAAGAAGAACTACGTTTCAAAATTAAATGACCTTAAGTAGCGTAGGGTCTTCTAACAGATTTAACCAAAACTGGCCACATCATCATCACATCATCAATTACAAGAAGGCTAACATGTTAACCTCGATTAAAAACTCTTAAAATATTTCCATTAATGCGAGAATTACGTCTTATATGACATGGAATGAACTATTGTTTTTGTTCCACTTAGGATAATTGAAACTCGAAATAGTGGTCGACTTGTTGAATAATATTGTAAGAAAGCGTTTTGCTCGCTCCTAAGCTGAGTGTTAAGCACACACACACAGACACACACACAAACACACTTTTTTGTTATAAGCGTAGTTTCTTTATTCTTGTTACTAGACAAAGGCTGTATACGTATATATATGTGCTGAGCATACACAAACACTGATCCTTAAATATCGCTAAGGTTTTGCTCTTGTATTCTTAACATTCAATATGAACTCGTTACTTTTAACATAGTAGCAAAGACGCAGTCACACACACAACGTAATTGTACAGCGATGTTGACGTCGACTGCAAAAATCGAAGATGCAGTTGGATCACTTGTGTTACGCAGTCAAGAAGGAGCATAAGCGCTGTAACATTTAAAACGTTAAAAACCAGTTAAGAAATCGTAATCGCATTCAGCACTACTTAGCTGTGCTGGTTTTCCACTCCCCGTAGCCTTAAGCAAAAAGGACACGGGCCGTTTATGTAATATGATTTCTCCTACGAACAAATAAAACTAAGATTGTAATAGCAAATGCGAAGATCTTGCAATATGCGTTGGCAACGAACCTCCTGGAAGGCCTTAGGTTATACCTCGGCCGCTAAAATCTAAATTATTCAAGAGGTCTGCAACTTAATTTTTCGCGTTGGACTCAATCACTTCTATCTAAACGATATTGGCGAGTAGTAGAAACCAATGAAAATTGAACAAAAAAGAAGAATTAAATAAGCCATGAATTTATTAAAACATCCAAGATTTTCAAAGTGGAAGTTATTATAAAAAGGGCATTTATTAAGTGTTTTTCTAATAAAATGATCCCCACTGTTAAAAGCGATAAAAGTCTTTATCTTCCGTGAGGCTAAGAAACTTGAACACTTGGCGGATAAGTTTTAAGATTTTTAATAAGGCCGCAGGTTTTAAATAGAAAAATTTACATACGTTTACATGTATGTATTAAAGCATCTGTTTACAATAATTCCATGAGTTTCATACCATTATATTCATACCGCTAGAAAACCCGTTTGCCAACTTAATTAAGACGTACTTGTATTTCAGGCATAATTATGGAGGTTAGCAGTTGGTGTTTAATATGCTCTTTATACTGTCTGCTGCTGATTTAATCCATACCGATGTGGCTTGATGACAGTTTTGTTGTAGTTGAATATGAAAGTAATTTTTTTAATATAAGAGTTACCTTAACTTCTACTTTATGTAAAGTGTGCGGAAAGTATGCCAGTAGACATTGTTTCCGCAGCTAGAGAAAATATTCATTCATTCATTGTCTTAAACGAACGATACAAAATTTAAGTCAATATTGAAAGCATATGCAAAGTTGACCTGTAAATGGCATAAAGTTTTAGACGCTTTTATGTACCACTTTGCAAACTAACCCAACATAACTTTGTATTATTATCAGCATAAAATTAAGATCCTCATTATTTTGGACCATGGAAAACTTTGCAAAAAAACTTTTAATTACTTTGTCGCAAACCGTACTTCTCATGCTCGTAGATTATATATATATATATATATATATATATTGTACATGGCTTTTAGTTAACAACTATGCATACCACGAATCGTGTGATGAGAGTGCAGTTCATTTTACTTCATGTTCAAGTGTTAACCATTTGTGTTATGTTACATATATACATTCCGGCTTCAATATATATATTAGCATATAAGAAAACGTCTGATTGCTAGGTTGCGTATGTTCACGCGGCGTGCATGCATGTATGTGCGCGTGTGTGAATTTGTGTATACATATGAATATGCATAAAATAACAAACAAGTGATGTGCTAATATTTACTCGGCGTTCGTTTAAGTGGAGCAGTAAATTAATGTCTCATTTATTTCTATTTATGCCAAAGTACAACAACATTAAACAATGCATGTTACAATAATAGCATATATGTACATTACATATACAATCCAGACGTTATGTGGCTTCCACAAAGTCCCCAAAATGAAATGTTATACGCTTCATGTGCTCGTATTCACATGTGAAGATGTGGCTGTAACTGCATGATGCATGTGTGAACGTCTACCAGAGAATCTATTCATCCCTTTTCCTATTCAATTTATGTACAAGTTCATATCCATATGTGTGTGTATTTGAACAAAAAATGTATATATATAAATGGATTTACAAATGTACAAGGATGCGTTTAGAAAAAACATTTTTCATTTTCCCTTCACCCATACGTACGTATAAATATGTATTCTCTTTTTATTTTTTTCGTTTTTTTTTTATATTTGCCACACTATGTTGTGGAAGAAAAAAATGTTTATAATTACAAATTGGTATTTGTTGCCTGCAGCGAATTGTGTAAATGGTCTGATGTGGGTTTTTATTTAGCTAACACTTGTACGGTGTCTCAGGAAAACGAATGCATTGTGAATGTAAGTAAACAATACACCTTGACTTGTATATAACATAAATAAAGCTACACTCCATTGATTTGTCACATAAAATGGTGAATTAAATACAATTTCGTTCTTTCTGCCAATGTGTCCTTTTAACATTTATTCGCACGAGCATTGCATGTGTCGTTGTTTTCGCCACCACTCGCTAAGTAAAGAAGAGTCGACCATCCATCCACAGAATGGTTAGTGGAGAAAAAAGAAAAGAAGAAACCCCAGCGTAAGGCAACATCTACACCAACTACAACGTCAACAATAATAACCCAACCATAATAGTAGCTAAGCAAATGTAAAAGGTCTACGTTTGGTTTCTAAAAAAAAAAAAAAATATTTGCTGTTTTTGTTTTTACTGTTGTTTACTTTGTATTTTACATGACCATTCTTCGAGTCGAGTCCTTTGTTTTTTTGCGACCTTTGTTGTTTGCTTGCTTGTAATTTTAACCATACACAAAAGTAACCATTATTTTCGCATCAATTTTCCTTTTAGGTTTTAGACTTTCGTTTTTTTTTTTTTTTTTTTAAATTTTCACTTTATTCATTTGTTTACTGTTTTCTTTTTTTTTTTGCATATTTTCTATTTACCGGCGCCGTTTCCGTTTGTTTGCTTACATGTTTGTTTATTTGCTTTTTGCCATTATGCAGTCATATGTTTGTTTGTTTTTCGTTTTTTAGCTTTGTTTTAGGTAACGTATACGTATCGTATAACTGAAGTATGACTAGAATTTACACATATTATACATGTATATATATATATCTACATGTATATATTTGTGTTTTCTTTATCAGTCATTCAGGCTATATATATATATATATATATAACGTTATCGTGCGTGCGGTAATGCGGGCGTACGAAATAGTTACCTGCGTTGTGTTAACCATATACATGTTAATTTTCTAATTGAAATTTACTGTTTTACATGTACAACTCCTTTTTTGCGGTTGCTTCTGTTGTTATTGCAATTCCATTGATAGTAATGTTAGTGCAGGTTATATGTAAATGTTTTTGGTTTTGAGGTTTATCCTCTTAAAGAGTTGATATTGTTAATGTTACTGCTTTTGCTGTTATTGTTGTTAAAGTCTAATGTTTTCAAATTTTTACAGATTTTGTTGCTTCCTAATAAACGTTTATATAATAAAATTGAACATGCGCTTTAATATTAAATATTCTCTTTTCTCTCCTTTTCTTTAATAATATTAATCTCTCTCTCTCTCTCTCTCTCTCTCTCTCTCTCTCTCTCTCTC